TGGTAGACTTACAATAAGAAACCTGAATAGCTTGATAGCTTCCAGGTTTCATTGTATGCTTGCAGAATTTCTGAATTTCTTGTGAATTTCAAAATGCCATTCATATTCACATAAGTACCAGTAAATTCTGATTTTCAACTTCAATAAGTTTTAGATTATTTTGTACAATAAACACTTTTTCTCTTCTCTCCCTGATTTAATAAATGTGAATTAACTAAATATATATAAAATTCTTTTAACAGTGCCTAGAAATTTATAAGTTTTTACTCTTAATATTGATAACCAAGAGGTAATGTAGCTATACATTACCTAGTATAGCTATGTAACAGATCTTTCTACTATATTATCAATAAGACATGGTAGGTTGAACAGCGGTATGGACAAGAACCCTGGGGTATATTTGGATTAAGCATTTCAGCAGTATATGATAAAAAGAATGGGATAAGACACATCCTCAAGACTCTGGATTGGCTATTTGTAATACAGTATAAATGTAATATAATTAAGCCTTTAGGGGATTATTCTTGAAGTTTTCAAAAGTTTTGAATGTCTTTCCCCTGAAGCAATTTAAAGCTATGGCTTAGAAAAGGGTATAAGTCCCTTAGAGCAAGAAATATTTAAATGGCCTTCCTGAGCCTGGAGAAAATTCTTTAGATAATTTCCTGAGTCTTCATCTTAGGGCAGTGTTTTCACCTTGGCTTGAAGGGCAAATGAAATCTTCCATGGTCTCAAATATTTATTTTTATCTTACTTTTGAACTAGCACATCCAAAATACATTCCCTTTGTAATCAATCATATTTGGCTGTAATGTATAGAAGTTTTTAAAAGCATTTTAAATAGTACCTTTGCCATCAATGTTTTCCAGACCACAAGGCCTGTGACATTATGGTTCCTCAGTGGTGATACCTTCAGATATTCATCAACCTCATGGAAAATTTTGTACAATTGGCTGCAAATAGAAGATCAAGCAAAACAATCTGCTGTGCATTGCAACCTAGGAGGTGAATCAATCTTCCATTTAGAGGTAATTGCTGAAAACATACTAATAACACAAACCTAAGGGGATGTCTGTCCAATGAACTGAGTTGAAATAAGCCATGTGTTTGGGGGACAGAATATTTCTTACTATAAAGAGTCTTTACAGAATAGGAATGAAAAAGTTCCAAGAGGATTTTCTTTGATATAATGAAAAAATGGAGACAAAATTAAAACACATGTTCAAATAACAATTTGAATATCCAAGAAAAAGATGGATATTTAGATGTAGAATTTATCTTACTGGGAATAAAAATTCATTTAGCCAGAATATAGTTTCTGGGTTCATGGTTTTAGTAGTGCTTACCTGTCTAACGGTATCATTTCCCACTGGTCCAATGAGGTACTATACAATAGGAAGCAGATTTGCATTCTTGATATAGAATGTAGACTAAGCTTGTGTCACCGACGTTCTGATTATGTAACAGTTTTCCATTTTTTCTCATAGCACCAATTTGGTTCTGTTTAGCAAATGTTTATCCGGTGCTAATCATGAAAAGACTGACAGTTCCTTTCCTGAAGTCTCTCACTGGAGGTGCTATTTGGAAAATCTTATTATTCGTTCTAAATACATATTAAATTTGTGTAAAAAGTAAATTAAGAGGAGCAATGAGTCCTTAGCTAAGGGGAAAGCATTTTGAATTTCATTGTTATGTTTATATGAATATCTTGGGAATCGTTTTAAATAGTTGTAAGTTTTTGTTATTGTTGGTGGTATATTCCTATGGTAACTTTATACATGATACTTGTCACACACACACACACACACACACACACACACACACACATTTAACTTTCATATGAATGAACTAAAATAGGCTTTCTTTAAAAATGTCAACCTGAGTGTCTGGTTCTAAATGGTGCTGGCCTTTGCTATAGTGGCATAACACTCTGTTACAAAGTGACTAGAGATTGGTATAACATGCATCCATGTCATGAAAATTTTCATGTATGTGATGAAAATTTGTATGTTGTTAGGTTGAGAGACCAGATACCTGAATAGGTCTCATTGATAAAAATTTGAAGTGACTCTTGTAGGAGCATGAAACTTGGCATTGGCATGTAAAAGAATTAGAAAAAAGAGTAAGTCAAGAAATATGAAGGAAACCAAAATAGTATTTACTATATGCGAGGTGCCTTATATGTGCTATTTTATTTTTTCTCCCAAGAACACCACAATGAGACTATTAATTAAAGGTGAGGATATCGAGACACAGAAGTTAATTGCCCAAGGTCAGATAGCTAGTAACTGGCCTTGTAAGCAGAAGGGACATAGATGTGGGATGCTAGCCCTGATGTCATTGCTGGCCATAGACAGGCTTAATCCATACAGAAAACATATAAAATCTCTGTCTATGTGTTCTGCACAAAGACTCAGGCCTCTTACTGATCCAGGGCACTGACAAGAACTTTTCAGTGAGGACTGAGTGGAGTAATGTGGACTGAATCTACAGCTTTTACCAAAGTAGGGTAGGGTTGGGAAGAGGCAAATCTGGGGAAGCTGTAGACGGATACCTGTAGGTATTTCTGCAGCACAGCCTTGTCCCTCACCCTCTTCTTAGGTGGTGTTTTGAGCCCCTTCCTGTCTATGGTGAATGCCATCTCAGAGCATGTTTCCCTTCACATTGGTAGCTGCTTACCCTGTTCTGTGGTTGGGGCTTCGAGGGTGTAGTTGTTTTTCTTGTGTGGTAATATTTTTAACATCCTGTGGCTTCATATTGGGAGTTTTCTATTGTTCATGGAACTTTTTTGTAGAAACACTAACTCTAATGCACATCTGCATGTCAGTAAAAATCTCAGTTTCATTAAAAAAAGTCATGTTTACTTCAATAGACAAAGTGACCTTTCAGAGTGAAATTGCTTCTTAGTAATCATTTACCAAGGAATTGGGATTTTGCTGGCTAGCAATAAAAAGGTGAATCTGGGACTCAATAAAAGACGCATCCATCTTTCAGGTATAAAAGAATCCATAAAAGATGAAGTTGATTGAGGACAGGGCAAAAATAGGAAGAAAGTCGTACCCCAATGATGACCAAAAGCAAATATATGTAATTAGATGCCAGTTGAAATAGATTCAGAGGATTCAGACCCAAAACTCATGCCAAGATTCCTGAGTAAGGAACAATGTTCTACATGTTAGGTACTTTTTGTTTGAGTGAATTAGAGCCTTTTCAATGGATTCTGTGTCCATGAAAAAGAAAATTTGTGTGTGTGTGTGTGTGGGGTGCTATTTATGAAGAGAAATGAAAGGAAATTGCCTGAGACTTTATGACACCAGCTCTTTGGATACAAAGACTGTGTCTGACCCCTGGCTGAATGGCAGGGAATATTTCCCTGAGAAATCACCTGGTTAAGGTGGCAATGAAGAGTTTTTGCATTAATAAAATGAGAAGACAAGTCGCAGACTTGTTGACAATATATACAAGTCATCTATCCAATAAATTATTTGTAGCCAAAGTGAACAAAGAACTCTCAAAACTCAATAATGTGAAAATGAACAATCCAATTAAAAATGGGCAAAAGATGTGAATGACACTTTACTAAAGAGAATGTAAGGATGGCCAAAAAAACCCCAAATATTAGTCATTAGGGAATGCAAATTAAATGCATGATGAAATATCACTACATACCTATTAGAATGTGTAAAACAACACACACACACACACACACACACACTACTAAGTGTTGATGAGGATGAGAAGCAACTATAACTCTCATACATTTCTGGTGGGAATGCAAAAATGATACAGCTACTCTGGAAAGCTGGCAGTTTCTTATAAACTTAAAAATGCATGATTCATTATCCACTATGCCAATCTGATATTTACCCTAGGAAAATGAAAACTTATGTTCACACAAAAATCTGGGTATAAATTTTTTAACAGCTCTATTCATAATTGTCAAGAACTGGAAACAACTCAAATGTCTTTCAGCATATAATTAAACAAACTCTAGTGTATCCATACCATGGAATACTCAGAAATAACAAGTTGGATGAAGCTTGAAGCTCAGAGGCTTTATGCTAAGAGAAAGAAGCCAGAGACCAATGGCTCTTATGATTCCTTTTTTGTATGACTTTCTGGAAGAGATAAAACTATAGGATGAAAAGCATATTAATCTTTGCAGGATATGAGTGGTAAAAGGGGTGACTAAAAAGGGACACAAGGGAATTTTTAGGGTGAAAGACAAGTTCTGTGTTCTTATTATAGGGATAGTTACATGAATCCATACATATTTTAAAATTCATAGAACTATACACTAAAAGAGAGAAAATCACTTTTACTATATATTTTACTATTGATAATTACAAAAATTTTGTTCTATCTCCCATAAAAAAAAGATATTTGCATTGGAACAAGAAGACTTCAGATAATTGGGTTTTGCATGAGTTGTACTTGTTTTTTGGGCAATCAGGCAGTCAAGAAACACTGATTGTGTTTATTGTTGACTTTTGTCCCATCACATTAGCACACTTCATTCAATGTTTTGGTATGAAGTGGGTTATTATTAAATATTCCCGACAAGGAGCTAGACTGCCTTTGCAAGTTAACTAATCAAATCTCTGATATAATGCATTCCATACTGCTTTTAGAGTTCATAAAATATTTCAGATAATTAGGGACCACAAGCAGAGTTGATTTTGGGCCTAGGATTTGCTACATATTAATTATATGACTTTAGGCTTAAACTCTGTTTGGTTAACTTAAATTTCTTATTTCTGAAATGGTCATATTGTGGAGTTTCAGTGAGGTAATGTGTGAATAAACCTCACAAATTCCTGGCCCAGAGTGGTCGATACAACAGATTCTCCTTCATACTTCTGGTGTTGTTTATTTCACTTCTTTACCTTTTCTCCCTTCTTCCCCTTCTCTGTTTTCTTTCTTCCTTCTTCTCATTGGGTTCATGGCAAATTTTTATATATGTGCATTGGTGAACTTGGACTTACCATAATAAATAAATCATTATGTTAAAAAAATTCTTTGAATTCTTACAGGTAAGAAAAAGTACAATGGAATGGGAAAATCAAACCATTCTGGTGGAATTCTTTTTAAAGGGGCTTTCTGATTACCCAAGGCTTGAGCTACTCTTTTTTGCACTAATCTTAATAATGTATGTTGTCATCCTTCTGGGCAATGGCACCCTTATTTTAATCAGCATCTGGGACTCCCACCTTCACACCCCTATGTACTTCTTCCTGGGGAACCTTTCCTTCTTGGACATCTGCTACACCACCACCTCCATTCCCTCCACTCTGGTAAACTTCCTCTCAGAAAGAAAGACCATATCCTTCTCTGACTGTGCAATACAGATGTTCCTTGGCATGGCCATGGGGACAACAGAGTGTGTGCTCCTGGGCATGATGGCCTTTGACCGGTATGTGGCTATCTGCAACCCTCTAAGATATCCTGTCATCATGAGCAAGGATTCCTATGTGCCCATGGCAGCTGGGTCCTGGTTTGCTGGGATTATCAACTCTGCAGTGCAAACTGCATTTGTGATACAATTAAACTTCTGTAGGAATAACATCAATCATTTCTCTTGTGAAATTCTGGCTGTCATGAAACCGGCCTGTGCTGACATCTCAGGCAATGAATTCATCATGGTTGTGGCCACGACATTGTTCACACTGATGCCCCTGCTTTTGATTGTCATATCTTACTCATTAATCATCTCTAGCATCCTGAAGATCCGTACTTCTGAGGGGAGAAGCAAAGCTTTCTCCACCTGCTCAGCCCACCTGATTGTGGTGATAATATTCTATGGAACCATTCTCTTCATGTACATGAAGCCCAAGTCTAAAGAGACACTTAATTCAGAGGACTTGGATGCCACTGACAAATTGATATCCATGTTCTATGGAGTGATGACTCCCATGATGAATCCTTTAATCTACAGTCTCAGAAACAAGGATGTAAAGGAGACAGTGAAACATCTATTTAACAGAAGTTTCTTTAGCAAGTGAATGGAAAAGAGATTAAATTGTGAATACATTGGGCATTGTTAAAGCTTTAGAATTATGTTGGAATTTTGGTTACTTTTTCTTGTTTTGAACTTTCACATATTACTCAACAATTTTTATGATGACATACAGCATTTCAATATTATATCATGCTCACTATAGAGAATTTGCAAGATACAGGACATAGGATGAAGAAAATAAAGAGATCACTTATTACTCTAACTCTAGGAGATGGCTTTCAAGTATTTAACAATATATTTTGTGTTCTGTATATACCTCAATATTGGAATTGGGTATTATATGTCTTTTTATGTTCACCTTTATACATAGTCCTATTTCATACACATCATTTCATCAAATCTTTCAAAATAAGTAAGTTCTCTGTTGTGAGAAAAACAAAACAGAAAATCCCCCAAACTGCACCCACATTCTCCAGTGGAGAGCCTTGTGACATAGTTTCACATTAATCTCAAAATCCTCCGAAGACTTTTGGATACTATTTTCTTGTTCAGTATTTAGAATGTTTCCTGTGGAACTAAGCATGCGAGCATTTGGGACTATTGAGGGAAACGGGTAAATGCCTTAAGGATGGAGCCTATGCAATCAATCAGAAAGTCCTTATTTTATCTCCTTTTTTTTTGTTTCAGCTTACATGTTAGCTCTAGCATAAAGAAAATTTTGCAAAATTAAAACTGGGTTGGAAAATCAGTCCACTGGTCTAGAAAGTAATGTGGACAAGTGTTGGGTTAGATGGCATCATATCCATGACCATTTAGAAGAAAGCAGATTTCTTTGATATCCTGAGATCATTCCAATGCTTTTCCAAAACTTAGAAGAATATCTAAGTTCTTGATTTTTAGTGTGGACCTGCATTGATGTTTTGTCTCTGTTACTAATAGCTTTGTCACCTTAGTGATCTAAGTAGATTTGGGGGGATGTCACACAGGATGTGATATTATCTTGAT